GATTAGGATACGATACAGGTGGTTGCGGGTCCATATATTTTTCAGTAGTTGAACAAATTCTTTCCTCTTCTCTGTAAGTAAAAGATGTTGGGAGAAATGGATGGTAATAGAGAACTTTCAGCTCTTATACTGATAGAAATAAACAAACTTTGGTTATTCAAACACCTTTTCTGTAAGTAAAATCTAATACTTTATTTGGAGCTTGATATTTGGCACATAACCATGATGCAGGCACAGCTGCATGTTATAAACCTTTCTGCTGACATATTTGTGACATAGCTATGTGCAATATGTGTCAAGTTTGTTCTTCTGTGCTCCCAAAAATAACATAACAACATTGCTGGCAACTACTAAGCACATCAAGTTAATTCAGAGATACCTGGCCATGTGGTAATTGAAATGGCTTTAGTATCCTGCTAAACAAAACAAACACTGGCTACTATTTCCTTTGGTATCAGGTCTTCTATAGTGTGGGCACCTTAATATTATTATTTGTATACAGTGTTATCTGTACATTCATATGTGGTGCCATTGCCCCCACGTGGTGAGTTTTTGGGGCAAAGACTTCAACCACCTGACACTAAATGCTGTCTTCTGGAACCATCCTTGGAAATAAGTCCAGAATCACTGCAGTAAAATGACCCATCTCCCACAGGAGGACACTGTGGTCAATGATATCAACAGCTGATGAGAGAACTAAGAGCAACAGAGTTGTACTCCTCCTCCTGGGCCTCTCCTGATAAAGGCCGTTCATCAGGGAAACCAAGACCAATTCAGTCCCAAACCTAAGTCTGAACCCAGATTGCGATGAGTCTAGATCAGGGTGGTCCAACCTCTAAGTGGGCCGCAACAATACTTCGCCACGGGAACTCATGGGCTGCACACTGCTTTGTTGTGCAGCAGGAGGGAGGCGAAAATGTGACACCTTCCCCAGCCCTCACACTTACAAAGCTGGTTAGTGAGGTGCTGGGCTTTGGGAAGGAGGTGCAAGGCTCTGGCAGGGTCCTAGAGTGATCCTCTGTCCTTCCCAAAACTGGGAATGTGCTAAATAGGCTTTGGGAAGGAAGGACTGTAGGACCCGTCAGAGCCCTCATGCCTCCTTCACAAAGCCCAGCACCTCACTTACCCTTGCTTTGCAAAGGCAGCATGAGGGCTGAGGGGGCATCAGATGTTGCCAAGGGCCATCAAAAAAGGCCTCAAAAGCCACATGCATTGGACCATCTTGGAGACAAATCAGTTTCCTCCAGGAATGCCTGCCGCTGTGGCTTCATGACCCTCCCAACTACCTTGTCCTCGCTTGTGACCTGGCTGTAGTTGTTAAATACTTATCAAGTTCAGAGCATGTTTTTCAGGAGTGGTCACACCACAGCTTCATACAAAGACACCATACCCTGGGCACACCCAGTAATGCCCTCCCCCAGCATCTTAGCTCACCCACAGGGTAGAGAGCTTTAGTGTAGGGATACAAGAAAGTATTAACTCTGCAGTTCAGTCTGATATCCCTGTTTGTGGAGGATAAGACTATTAGTGGCTTCAACTCATGATGGTTGTACAACCTCCAGCATCCAAGGTAGTGTGCCTCTGAACACCAATTGCTGGGTATTATGAGTTGAGACTGCTATTGGCCTTATGCCCTGCTGATGGGCTTCCCATGATCAGCTGCAGTGAAAGTAGGATGAAAGTAGGTATTTCATCCAATCCAGCAGGGCTCATTTTATATTCTTAAAATACATGCATCTCTCTTCACCTGAGGCAGAATAACAATATATTATGTGAAATTTGTAAGTGAAAACAACTCGTGCTTATCATCCTAATAAACTGTATCTGTCATACAATCTATTTACTTTCTGGAGGTGATTAACACTCCTAGGGAAGTTAATAGCAAAAAAGCTCACAGTGAATTGCAGGTACAGTGGTGCCTCGCAAGACGAAATTAATTCGTTCCGCAAGTTTTTTCTTCTTGCGAGTTTTTCGTCTTGCGATGCACGGTTTCCCATAGGAATGCATTGAAAATCAATTAATGCGTTCCTAGGGAAACCACCTTCAGACCAGGTCCGGGGACAGTCTGTCCCCCGACCTCTTCTGAAGGCTGGGGGGGGGGACAAGGGCTTTTTTCCCACTGCCAGCCTTCAGAAGGCTGTTCTGAAGGCTGGCGGTGGGAAAAAAAAGCCCTTCTTCCCACCTCCCGCCCCGCAAGCTCCGGGGACAGGAGGGCTTTGCTGCCGACCGCCAGCATTTTAAAAGCCCCTGCTGTCCCGGGGAGATTTTAAAATGCTGGGGGCGGGAGCGAACGCTTCGCTCCCGCCCGCCAACATTTTAAGATCGCCCGGGGCAGCAGAGACTTCTCGCCCAAAGCAAGGGGAGCTCTCCGAAGGGCTCCCCGTGCTTCGGGCGACAGGCTGCCGCCCCAAGCCTCGCGCACCCGGCGGGACCTCCTGCCGGGTGCGCGAGGCTTGCAGACACTCGCCCAAAGCAGGGGAAGCCCTCTGGAGGGCTCCCCGTGCTTCGGGCGACAGGCTGCCGCCCCAAGCCTCGCGCACCCGGCGTGACCTCCTGCCGGGCGCGCGAGGCTTGCAGACACTCGCCCAAAGCAAGGGGAGCTCTCCGAAGGGCTCCCCGTGCTTCGGGTGACAGGCTGCCGCCCCAAGCCTCGCGCACCCGGCGGGACCTCCTGCCGGGTGCGCGAGGCTTGCAGACACTCGCCCAAAGCAGGGGAAGCCCTCCGGAGGGCTCCCCGTGCTTTGGGCGACAGGCTGCCGCCCCAAGCCTCGCGCACCCGGCGGGACCTCCTGCCGGGCGCGCGAGGCTTGCAGACACTCGCCCAAAGCAAGGGGAGCTCTCCGAAGGGCTCCCCGTGCTTCGGGTGACAGGCTGCCGCCCCAAGCCTCGCGCACCCGGCGGGACCTCCTGCCGGGTGCGCGAGGCTTGCAGACACTCGCCCAAAGCAGGGGAAGCCCTCCGGAGGGCTCCCCGTGCTTCGGGCGACAGGCTGCCGCCCCAAGCCTCGCGCACCCGGCGGGACCTCCTGCCGGGCGCGCGAGGCTTGCAGACACTCGCCCAAAGCAAGGGGAGCTCTCCGAAGGGCTCCCCGTGCTTCGGGTGACAGGCTGCCGCCCCAAGCCTCGCGCACCCGGCGGGACCTCCTGCCGGGTGCGCGAGGCTTGCAGACACTCGCCCAAAGCAGGGGAAGCCCTCCGGAGGGCTCCCCGTGCTTTGGGCGACAGGCTGCCGCCCCAAGCCTCGCGCACCCGGCGGGACCTCCTGCCGGGCGCGCGAGGCTTGCAGACACTCGCCCAAAGCAAGGGGAGCTCTCCGAAGGGCTCCCCGTGCTTCGGGTGACAGGCTGCCGCCCCAAGCCTCGCGCACCCGGCGGGACCTCCTGCCGGGCGCGCGAGGCTTGCAGACACTCGCCCAAAGATTTTAAAATGCTGGGGGTCGGGAGCGAAGCGTTCGCTCCCGCCCGCCAGCATTTTAAGATCGCCCGGGGCAGCGGAGAAGTCTCCGCTGTCCCGGGAAGGCAGGCGGGGGGAGCAAAGACTTTTGCCCCCCGCCGGCCTTCAGAAGAGGTCCAGGACCTCTTCTGAAGGCCGGCTGTGGGCGAAAGTCTTTGCTCCCGACCGCCAGCAATTTAAAACAGGTCCCCGGAGATTTCCCTATGGGCTTTCGTCTTGCGAAGCAAGCCCATAGGGAAATTCGTCTTGCGAAGCGCCTCCAAAACAGAAAACCCTTTCGTCTTGCGGGTTTTCCGGCTTGCGAGGCATTCGTCTTGCGGGGTACCACTGTATATTTGGAAGTGGAAGAGCAATCACAGAAAAAAAATCAACGTTATTATTCTTCATTGGTGCTTAAGTGCTGTGAAGGTGAGTTTGTTTGTTGCGTTTCAAACGAGGGCATTGTTCGTCTTCTAGTAAGGAACTGCTAATCACTCATTCAAGCAAGGTTTTGCCCCAGAGATAAAATAAAATAGCAGTGATTAGTTTTAATTTATATATTGGAGGGGAAATTGTTCCGTAAAACAGAACTAATAGAGTTCTGTTCTCCTAGAGAAGCACTCTTTAGTACAGCAGCACTTTTTAGTACAGGATAGTTGTTCTCAGCTTTTTTGCAGAGGGTCAGGACTCATGCATGAACTGCGCTCAGTCTCTTGCCTGAACATGAAACACACTATTTCTGTGTGCTACTTTGACAGTGCTTTAACACTCATCTGTGGGATTTTGATCTGGGGAAATAGCTGCTATAAAGATATGTAAGGATTCAGCAGGGGGTCTTATCAACACTAAGGGTTAGAACATCACCTGCTCCCCCCCCCAATGGAGGCAGGTAGAACTTTTCTGAAAATAAAGCATTGCCACCAAGACTAAATCCTGAAAATGTAGGGCTTGCAATAAGGGCTTGCAGTAAAGAAGGTGGAGCATCTCTTTAGCGACAAGGTCATTGCATATTCAAGATAATTACAGTTTTAATTCTACAGGAAATTACTTTTGTATGACATTCAAAAAACATGCATATGCACTGGCATAGCATGGGCTTCTCTGTGAATGTAGCAACTGACAACAAATAATGTTGCTAGCTAGGATTCTATATGCGCAGAAATGGAAGAAGTTGTTCCAACCAAATAAGAATGGATAAATAATAATAATAATGGACTATGCAGAACTGGCAAAATTAACAGACTCTAATGATGAGTGTTTTATGGAAGAATGGATGCCTTTATTGGACTGTTTAAAGAAATACTATAGTACGATGTACTTGTGAGCAGGATTTGAGCTATGAGTAACAAAAGTAATTTGATTATATTATTGTGGTTATGATTTGATAGAAGATAGGCTGCAGCAGAAGGGAGTAACAATAACTCCATGGGAAATAGGGGTGGGACGTCGACAAAAATGATGACATCATGTTTTGATTGTATATGTTAAAAACGTTGAAACTCAATAAAATAGAATTGGAAATGTTGCTGCTGTGCTACGTGACTCTTTAATTTTCTGTCTTCTCCACAGGGTGAATGTTCCCAGAAGTGCCATGACATCTTTGTTCTGGAGACGGTCTGCGTGGCTTGGTTTTCCTTTGAGTTTGTCTTGCGCTCCATCCAGGCAGAGAGCAAATGCGCCTTCTTGAAGACTCCGCTCAACATTATAGACATCTTGGCCATCTTGCCTTTCTACATCTCTTTGATTATAGATACAGCCTCTACCAAAAACACTGACAAACCTGGGGGTAGTGGCGGTGGCGGCGGTGGTGGAAACAAGTACTTGGAGAGAGTGGGCCTTGTCCTCCGCACCTTGCGAGCCCTCCGTATCCTGTATGTCATGCGCTTGGCCAGGCATTCACTGGGGCTGCAGACCCTGGGGCTTACTGTACGCCGTTGCACCCGGGAATTTGGGCTCCTGGTCCTCTTCCTTTGTGTCGCTATGGCACTCTTCTCCCCACTTGTTTTCCTGGCAGAGAGTGAAATGGGAGCCAAGCATGAATTCACCAGTGTCCCCAGCAGTTACTGGTGGGCTGTCATATCCATGACAACTGTTGGCTATGGCGACATGGTACCTCGTAGCATTCCTGGGCAGGTGGTCGCCCTGAGCAGCATCTTGAGTGGCATTTTGCTAATGGCTTTCCCTGTCACGTCCATATTCCACACTTTTTCCCGCTCGTACATCGAGCTTAAAGAGCAACAGCAGAGAGCTGCTAGCAGACAGTACCATCATGTGGAAGAAAGCACCAGAACTCTGAATGAGGACAGTTCCCATGAAGGAGATGACACATGTTCACAAGAGGTTGATGCAGAGGTGGTTCACGCAGAGACTGGACAGGGAACTAAGAGTTGCTGACTCTAGTGAAACTAAAGTATTGTAGGAACTTTGGGGAAAAGGGCGAATAGATATTTGTCATATCTGAAACAGCCCCTGAACTGCCCATATCAGGGTACTCAGCCAAACACAGTGTTGGAGAAAGACTGCCCTTTTAAGCATTGGCTTAAGTGACCAATCCTGTTTCTTAAGAAAATTCATCTGCAGCATCCTTAGAACACAAGATACTTTTCAGCACTCAAGAGTGATCTTGAAGGAACAGCAGTTTAAAAGACAGGTTTCCACTGTGCACATAGCGGGGAATAACACTGCTAAAACAGTTGTGTGTATATTTTTAAATAAGCGCCCCAAATTCAGGGTAAAGTACATGTGCCATAGGACTGGGAGCAAGAGAAAGATTGCACAAGAACATTTTTTTCCCTAAACCCTGTACCACAGGTGGTTTCATGGTTTTGTAAAAAGTCATGGAGTATTGCACAGAAAGGGTTAAAGGAAAATTTGAAAGTATGGGGACAAAGGGCCATTTCTGACAAAAAGCTACCCCTAGTTTACATCTCTGTTTAATTTTTTCTTCAATAGAACGAAGATCAATAACCACAACTCTGGCTGCCTGCTGACAGGTCTGACGTGTGCTTTAGCTCTTTATGCATTATTTAATAAAACATGCAGATTTACCACAGTAAGCTTTTGCATCCTAGCTTGGATGGCAGACGTATACAATATGTTCCTTTTTGCTCAGATTTGAATGTATATTGTTTTAAAATGATGCTGTTTACTTCCAACGTTTGGTATCTTATTGCACTTCTCAGGATGTGGCGCCTGTTGGTGCCAAGATTTTCAAAACTGAAGAAAACATATCTAAGAAAGGTCAGTGTCTGGTTGGAGGACGTTTAGTTCCCTCCCATCATCCATGAATAACTAAAAGGCAGGGTGGGGCTCCCCCCCCCCAGTACATACAGTTAGTGAACATAGGGGAGGAGGTAGGAAAAAGAACAGGGAGGTGATACTACAAATTGTAAAACAGGGACGGTTTGTAGTGCATTTGGATGCAGCCCATAATTCCGCTCCCCCCGGGTAAGTGGGCATGCCAAAAACTCCCATTTGTGTGTATGAGAGCTGTTTTTCCAATGCCTAATTACTCCACCAGGATGGGCAGCACCCGGTAGGAGAACGCGAGAAGGATGAGGCAGGAGGGGAGAGAGATTAGGTATGTGGATGTGAATAGAGGGATAGGGCAAGGGATGCAAGAGGGAAAGCCAAGCCCTCCTGTTGCCTGCTCAGCCCTCAGGGAAATAAAGGTTCCCCATCCCCGATGTAATAGGAACAGTAAAGACAAGTGATGCAGTATCACTATTATTTATTAAATTTATTAGTAGCTTTCTTGCCATGCAACTCAAAGCAACAATTTTCAGCAAAAAATGAACACATGCCTACATTAAATTAATAAAAGAAATCTAAAAAACCTTTCTGATTGTTGTTTTTTTTAAAGTAGATAAAAGCTGTAGGTAATTAAAAGCCAAAGGTGTAATGATAAAGGATTGTTTTTGCCTGGTGCCTGAAGACATGTAATGATGGTCCCAGGTGAGCCTTCCTGGGGAGAGCATTCCACAAGCGAGGAGCCGCTACTGAAAAGGACACACAGTTCTCATGGTGCAGAGGACAGCATATGAAAAAGCTGAACTTTCAATGTTGTGAAGATGCACAGAGAAGAAGCACAAGGCTTTTTGCTTCCTGTATCAGTGTTATGCAACAGCTGCTGTTATGATGTAGAACAAAGACTCTGAAAGAAGTTACGCTCTAGTAGGATTGAGAAATTCTCTCTCTCTCCCTCTCTCTCTCTCTCTCTCTCTCTCTCTCTCTCTCTCACACACACACACACACACACACACACACACCCCCCAACACACCAACCACAAAATCAACAGAATACTCCTTTCTCACCACAGACTTGGTTACATGTGGAGCATGCAAACAATTTCTTCATGGCTGTCCTACACAGACTGAGCAACAGCAACAGGAGTCAGCACTCTGCTATTTTTCTGCTACAGTCAAGCAGCAGTTTGGCACACTTCTTAGTTGCCATGAGCCTCAGCCCATCACCCTACAAAAGCAAGTGCTTCAGATCTGAGCAAAAAAATAAGAACATCATCAGCCTTGGGGTTGTTTTTTAAAAGTTTCTAGTGCAGGAAAGTAGTAGCTAGTAAGGCAGATGTTCAGCTTCTCTTCAGATGAGTTAATTTGTGGTCAGCAAGGTTGTGAGAAAAATGACATTCCAGATCATATTCAGGACCATGGGAGTCTATTGATTTCAGGTTTTTTTACTAACAAAATAGCTACTGTTTTTCAAAATGCTTCTGTCCTTAGTAAATAATAATCAATCATTTTAAACATAGCTTTGAATTAATATTTCCTGTTTCTCATTACCACTTGTTCCAAGATATTTGAAAATAAAATTCTCTTGAAGCACCCCCATCTAATTGTGCTTTCTTCTTTTACTTACGAAAGCCAATCTATATCGTGTATAAACCAAACTCCCAATTTCTTGTCCTGAGCTATAGATGCTTTTATTTAATGTGTAAGACAGTTCTGCATATCCTAAGTACTGGGTGAAAGCCAATCTTTAATGTAGGGAATTCTCTTTGGTGTGTGGTTTTATAAACAATATGGTGCTTCTTTTGCAGTTTTGAGATTAGCACAATTTTGGGTGTTTTTTTAAAAATCCCACTAAACCATAATGCTAACATAGGCATAGAGACAAGCGAGCAGCTCATCCCATGTGGCTGCTGTATTTACACACATCCTGTAGTTGTGAGAAACAGCATCCATAAGGTTGCAACTGTCTGTGAAGGAGGCAACCAGTTAACTGGCCAATTTAGTTCTTGGTACAACCCTTATCCTGTATATTTTATTTAAGGGCCACTTCACAATGTTCAAAGCTATATGTTAATTCTAAACAAACTAAAGACATTTAAGCTGGGTTGGGATGGAACCAGCCAAAAGCTTGCACAAAGCATGGAGGGTGTAGGAGGGACAAGAATCAATGCTGGAGCTGGAACCAGGTATATGTAGCAGAAAGGCAAACACTAGAGGTGCAGACTTCACCCTGTAATAGAAAATCCCACGTCTTGTGAAATGCACCTATATGCAGCCTAAGTTGTTCCATGCAATCGGGCTCTACTAAATACCATGGTGTCTATAATAATAAAAGATGAGAGTCTTGCTTCAGCTGGTCTCATCTCCTTGTTCAACAGTAAGGATAACTCCAGACATGATGTTTTCTGTGGGTCTGAATCAGAGTACTAAGTGATCAGCAGCCTACACAGAGTCTGGCAGTATAGGCAAAAGGGAACAGTGTCACTGCACTTGGTGTTCAACTCAATGCTGATAGTAAGTCCCAGCCCCAACCTCCATTTTGGGCACTCTGGTGGCTCATCTGGTCACTGAGGAAGGCCTGTCGGAAGGGTGCCAAAAAAAAGATTGACGTTTCTATTAGCGCCCCTCAGCCTCTCCTATACAGAGCAAATAGACACCAATGGGAGCCTTCTCTCAACCCTATTTGATTGCCACGCTGAACAATTTTTTTGTGGGAGGGAGAAAGAAGGTGGAAACAGCAATTCCAACCCTCTTTGCCCCTGGCACATGACATACCACTAAGAGAATTCAGCCTCCAACCTTAACATCTTTCCCCATTCCAGTCCCAACTGTTCCTTGTCGCTTTTTTTAATTTGCAAACATGAAACCCCTTCTTGAAATTCAGTTAGGCTACAATTACTGGCTCAGATCATTATGTTTTCCTTGCTTTTAGACATTGAGGGAGTAACTTCCCATTTTCCTTTGTTCTGGTAATGTTGGGCATTGTGTTTTCCTGCTTCCACAAGGCTCTCACTGTTGCAGGAATTTAATAAAATACTTATTTTTTGCTGCATAATAGCAGCAGCTGCCGCTTTAATCCACACAGTACTACGCCAAAGGGAGCCTTTGATAATAGCAAGTGGCACAAAACAGCACTGTCTCCATTCCATTCAGTGCTCTTGATAAAAGAAATGTCATTTCCCTGTTTTATATCCAAAAAAATGTTGGCCGAATTAAAAGCTATACACTTGTTTGTTGAATGTAGAGGGAAAATAAACAGCCGACCACCTCGCTTTTCAAGATGTTGTGCTGAGCCACTTGGCTTCTCAGACTGCAAACTTTTTTGGAGAGCATACCATAGGATGCAGGTTTGGCCCGTACTTCAGACCCTAGGATCAAGTAAATTTGCCAGGGGCTATAAAGGGATTCTAGTGTTCTGGGCTGCAAAGAAAGATTAAACAGATTAAACCAGGCTTAGAACTACTGGAGATATGCCCCGTGCAGTGTCGCAGAAGCTGTTTGCCTTGTTTTTATTGAGCTGTATTTTCACACATTTGTTCTGAGAAGCTGGTGGAGATTTTGTAAGAAATAAAATTAAAACATTTTCTGTCTTTCCCTGCAGAACTGACTGGTGGAAATAATTTGACAACTATTTCTTTTCCATGTGCCCCAGCCTCAAGAAAGTTACTCATACCTAATACTCATTGATTACATCTGGCCCCATTACTTTTTCTGGATCAAAATGGTTATGTACTGTTGAATATAGTTATAAAGGATGGGCTGTATCCAACTAACTTCTATACAGAGTAGAGCCACTGACATTAATTGACCCAAGTTAGCAATGACCATTGATTTCAATGGTACTACTCTTAGCAGAAGTTGAATACAACCCTATATTTAATTGTACGAATGTGTAAACCCTGTTTACTCCATAAACTTAATTGCAAAATAATTTGCTGCAGCTGATATGCGAGAACTTAAGGAATAAACATAAGACCTGGTAAACCATATCCATCTAATACACTCGCCAAGAGAGTGGATCAGTGCCTAGTATGAGCCTGTGTGAATAATGTATTGGATTTTCAATCTTGGGGGAAAGCCTTGCTCAGCTACGTTCCACTAGATAGCTGAAGCACTAGACAAGACACTCCACTTCATCAGCATAATGTACACCAAAAAGGGCTATACAAATGATAAAATAATAATTCTGATCTGTTATTTTAGGAAACCAATTTATGGTGTCTGGCGCTCATTCACACCCCATCAATTTGTAGGATGGTGAGACAAACTGATTTCTACTGACATGCTAAACCCCCGCCAAAAGGCACTTCTCTATCTTACATTTGAAAGGAACAACAACAAATTCTGTGCACAACTGATTGGTTTATTTTTTAAAAATTGCAACTGATAAATCAACATTAGTGCCATTGAGATATTCCATACATTCAGCAGAAAGATGGATTTAAGATTTACTTAATCTCTGAACTCTGATGCGATCGTGGTTACACAGATTTCTTTACCTGTAAAAAGAACTGCATTTTTTTTAAGCCAGTGATTCATTGACCACTGAGGTGCCCTTTAGATGGTCTCCCAAATATGTGGGATCTGTTTGTATGCAAGCAGTTAGTTCACCTGTGGCTGGGGAAATGTTTCAATGATCCAACCATGGAGCAAGAGTGACGGGGTCTTTTCTGCAGAACTTGCACTGGGTCATTTAAACATTCTCCCAGGTACATAGAAGCTGATCACAGACTAGCATTCCTACACACCTGGGAGAATGTCTAAAAGACACCTGAGATAGCTGTGGTCCCACTAGAATGGTTGTTAACTGGCATGCCTGAAAACAGCCCTTGTGCCTTTCCCTAAATACCTTGAAATCTGGGATTCATGGGTTCCCTAGCTCCTGTTTAGATGCCACAGATGAATGTAGCGTTTTTAGACACAACTCTATTGGCTTTTCTTCTGGCATCGGCAATCCTGGCATGAAGGAAATTGTTTGGATATTGACAACAAATGGTTATCAGTTTAACAGATCTAACTGTGAATCTGTGCACAGCGTCCTGGGAAATATTACCAATTTTACCATCAATAATACAATAATACTTGTTAAACAAAGAGGCATGGGGGATATGCACAGACTAAGCTAACACACACTAGCTGAGTCTTAAGCCCCTTTTCGAAGAACAATTGGGCGGAGGGAAGGACTGCCCCATACAAAAATAAAGCACAGCGTTGCAAGTTACTGTTATGAAATCCTGTTGTACAAGTAGAAATACAATCCTCATTACAGCAGCATACAAGGGAAATAGAACTGTGGTGGAAATTTATAATTTAAAAGACAAATGCCCAGAAGTTCTAACACAGCCAGAACATTTGTGAAAAGGAGAGCAATTAAACATTCATATTCTGCCATGCCACATAACATCAGCTAGGTAAGGTCACTTCAGGCATTAGGGAACAAGCATGGTAGCCAATCAATAGCACAAAGTCTGAGGTCAACCATAGCGCTTCACACTAAGCTCTCAATAAAACAGTTTTCCTGAGGTTCTGTTTATATGCCAGCCAGGGAGGGAGAGATCCATACAGCTACTGCGGAGTGGTAGTAGCCTCTCCTCTTCTTTTAAAAAAACAGTCTGATCTCCAGGACAGTTTGCTCCTCAGACATGGAGTGTCTAACTGGTTAGAAGAGGAAGTCCAGCCAGTTTTGAGGTTGTTCCGTACTCAACAGACGAAGAAATTAGAAGCAAATGTGCAAGTGCAGAAGGCAAATAATTCCTTTCCTTTCCTTTTTTAAAAAAAACCTGATAACAATTATGAAACTTCTCTGCCTTTTCAGTACAGAGAAGATTTGGCACAGCCAAATGTATCAAACGAGGAAGATGCCCAGCTAAAAACAGCTTTCGTAGATCAGACGTGCAGGTGCATCAAGTTCATCCATTTTTGGAAAACGTTTTAGTGGAGGAAAGCAACCACTTTAACACGTGTCTATTGCTGACCCAAAATATAATCCACGTAGCAGTTTCATCTAGCATTGGAGAATATATGTTTCTGGACAACCATGGCTTGTGGAGAGGAGAAAACAGTTCCTGAAGCACAGCATGACTGCATATTCCTTACCGGGTCAAAGCAGGTTCCTCCTGGCAAAGAGGAGTGGTTTGAAAAGTGGAACAGTTCAAGCTGTGCAGTTGCTGAATTCTAGATCAAGTCTTCAGTAAAGGAAGTATGCAAGTCTGAAACTGGCAAACATATTTTAGGTACAGATTTTCCCCAATCTTCATCTACGTTGCATGTGGATAACACAAATTCCCACCTGTATTTCATATACTATCTCAATTACTGGCCATAGAACTTGCAAAAAGGAAGCAATCTTCATGATCTTAAAGGGCTAGAAATACTGTTAGGATTCTTCCTCCTCAATATTTGGCTAATGCAAAGAAGACATTTGGCATTAAATAATACTAAGGAAAGTGTCAAGTTTCAGCTTTCTTTTTGAAAAAGAGGCTTGCTGTGTTATTCATCACTAGGCAATTGCTCTTCTTCCTCCGAGTGGCTCTTGCCTAGCCTGGTCTACCTTACATTTATTGGAGCAGATCACACACCCAGGTAGTTTATTTTAGTTT